CACAGAGTCTGAGTGTAACAGAAAATGTTTAATAACATGAGGTAAACGACATCAGCATTAAATTGGAAAAACACCACAAACAGGATTCATAACACAAACCATGAGCACAAGACCCACCCCAGCAAATTGGGCTGTGTCCTTTCCCTTTGGTTCTTGAATCCAGCAACCCAAAAATCACCCAGAGTCCCCAAAGTCCAACACCCCCAAGTCTCTTGGGTCCAGCAACCACCCAAAGTCCTAAAAGTCCAACAGACCCCAAAGTCTCTGTCCCTGGTCAGTGCAGCCCCAGAGTAAAAGGGGGGGGGCACGCAGGGTGTTAAGGGGCACCTTTCGTGATCCCAGGCCGGCTGTCTGTCTCTCCGTGGGGTTCTGCCACAGCCTTCACCACGAGGAAAAATGACCTCTAACCACCCCCTGCATCACCAGAAAATCCAGCTCCTGTGTGCAGTGAACAGCAGTGATAAGGACAGGGAAAAGAAAGAGTTACACCACATTTTTATTTTGTTCCCTGAACTTTCCAATGAACACCACAAGCCACTCACCTCTCTACTGCTAAGGGACCTGACATTGTGTCTGTACAACCACCAGAGTGGACCCTTCACCCGCTCCCACTTTCCCCAGCTTTTGCAGAGTGGCTTGGAGTGGGGAGAGGACAGACACCAGGGAGTGGGAATAGTACATAATATTTTTAATTTTCACAGGGAGAAAGGACTGCGGGAATGTTCCTTGGATCATCTTTTTCTTCTCAGATATAAGCGGACCTGCACCTAACCCTTCCACCACCACCACCCCCGCCTTCCATGTGGCTCCTGTTCATAGGGGAATGGAAAAACAAGGGAGTGGGATGGGAGTAAGGGGGATGGAACTTTGAACAATTGTGCTTTCTACAGCTGTCCTATCCCCAACCAGTCCCTCTTGAAATCCACCTCCCTCCCTCCCTCTCCCCTGGTCTGCATGACCCTGTAACTATTGTTGCCAGTGTGCTGGCTGAGAAATATGCACGCACAGGGCACAATGACAGTGCATTAATAATCTTTGTTATATCTTCCACTAGATATGCAACAGTGGTTCATGGGAGTTCAATAAAATTGTAGGTGTCTCTTGTTTGAGGTGGTGTGGAGCAGGGGCAGGGTGTCAGTAATGGGGCACCAGAGCAAAAGGGGATATTGGTGGGAAGAGTGTAGGGGAGTCCACTGTAAAACTTACGAGCCTCTGGTTTCTGCCCTGGCTCTGGGTCCTCCCCAGGTTCCTCAGGGTGGCTTGCTCAACTAGCTCCTCCAGACAGAAGTGCAGAATCATATGCTCCTATTCTTCCAGGTCTCCCAGAGCTTCCTTCACAGTCCCAGCTGCCTCCTCAGCCTGCCCCTTATCCAGTGTACTGTCGTCTGACAAGGCCAGCAGGTTTGAGGAGGTTGTCATGAACCACTTCATGCTCTGTACTGGGAGCTCTGGAGAGCACCTGGTCCAGCTCATTGCAGCACGGGCTCATAGGACAGTCCTTACCTAAGTGGCTGTTCAAGTCCTTTACCTTTCAGTACAGGAGCCTCAGGTGCTTCATACGTTCCCATCACTTGTCCAGAGTCTGGTGAATGCCTGCCTCCTCCACCTCCATGGAATCTTCTGGTACCCATGAATGTTCCTGCCACTCCAGGTCCAGTCATGGAGGATAGTGTATTCTGACCACACGTTGATCAGCACCCTTGTATGCCTGGCAGACCAAATGGCTGCTTTTGGAACATGATCAATGTTCACCTGTACTGATCAAGAGTGCACTGGAAAACTCTTATAAAGGGGTCAGTGCAGCTCGCTACTACCTCTGGCAACAGGGGGCCAGGGACCTTTATACAATGGGTAAGGATCAGGCCAAAAGGGTACAGTGCACTGTGAGAATGGGCAACTGAAACTTGGGACTTGGTACATGCCTCTTCTCCCCGTCCACACTACACTGTAGCACTTGTATGGGGCTAAGCCACATTAGAGGCTTGTGCATACACAAACCCCTCATGAGTGCTAGCTTTCATTCACTGTACTCTCCTTCAGACATGTGCTTCAGGGGTTAAGATGTGGACAATCGGGGAGGGGGGGTTATGGCACAACAACTCCAGATGACTGGAGGATAGATTTTTTTAAAAAGGCTTCAGGGGTGATCCTGGCACTTATAGGCCAGCAAGCCTAACGTCAGTACATGGAAAATTGTTTGAAACTATAGTAAAGAACAGAATTATCAGATACACAGATGAATACGATTGTTGGGGAAGAGTCAACATGGTTTTTGTAAAGGGAAATCATGCCTCACCAATCTACTAGAATTCTTTGAGGTGGATCAATAAGTATGTGGACCAGGGGGATTCAGTGGATATAATGTACTTAGATTTTCAGAAAGCCTGTGACAAGGTCCCTCACCAAAGGCTCTTAAGCAAAGTAAGCTGTCATGGGATAAGAGGAAAGGCCCTCTCATGGAGATAGGGAAAAAAGGATAGGAATAAATGGTCAGTTTTCAGAATGGAGAGAGGTAAATAGCGGTGTCCTCCATGGGTCTATACTGGGACCAGTACTGTTCAATATATTAATATATGATTTGGAAAAAGGGGTAAGCAGTGAGATGGCAAAGTAGGCAGACAATATAACATTACTCAAGATGGTTAAGTCCAAAGCTGACTGCAAAGAGTTATAAAGGGATCTTACAATACTGGGTGGCTGGGCAATAAAATGAAGATGAATTTCAGTGTTGATAAATGCAAAGTAATGCACATTGGAAAACATAATCCCAACTATACATATAAAATGATGGGCTCTAAATTAGCTGTTACCACTCAAGAAAGATCTTGGAGTCATTGTGGATAGTTCTCTGAAAACATCTACTCAATGTGCAGTGTCAATCAAAAAAGCAAACCAGAATGTTGGGAATCATTAGGAGTGGGATAAATAATAAGACAAAAAATATCGTATTGCCTCTCTATACATTCATGATACGCCCACATCTTGAATACTGTGTGCAGATGTGGTCGCCCCATCTCAAAAAAAATTGGAAAAGGTACAGAAAAGGGCAATAAAAATGTTGAGGGGTATGGAGCAGCTTCCATATAAGGAGAAATTAATAAGACTGGGACTTTTCAGGTTGAAAAAAAGATGACTAAGAGGGGATATGATAGAGGTCTATAAAATCATGACTGGTGTGAAGAAACTAAATAAGGACGTGTTATTTACTCCTTCTCATAACACAAGAATCAGGGATCACTCAATTAAAATAATAGGCAGCAGGTTTAAAATAAAAGGAAGTATTTCTTCACACAATGCACAGTCAACCTGTGGAACTCTTTGCCAGAGGATGTTCTGGAGGCCAAGACTGTAACAGGGTTCAAATAAAAACTAGATAAGTTCATGGAGGATAGGTCCATCAATGGCTATTAGCCAGAATGGGCAGGGATGCAAAACCATGCTCTAAAGTGTCCCTAGCCTCTGTTTGCCAGAAGCTGGGAATGGGCAACAGGATGGATCACTTGATGATTACCTGTTCTGTTCATTCCCTCTGAAGCACCTGGCACTGGCCACTGTCAGAAGACAGGATACTGTCTAGATGGACCAATAGTCTGACCCAGCATGGCTGTTCTTATGTTCTTAACAACACACATGGAGGTTTGTACAGTTCCTAGTGTAGACATAACCTATATTACAGCAACCTCTTCAGGCTGCCCTATTCAGGAATAGTACTGCTAAGAATGCCAATAGCATTATGTGTGGGAAAGGGTTTCATTGAGCAGTCTGTGGCTGTCCTTGCAATGCCTGCAGGGAGTGGTAATTCTCCTTTGGCTGACTCTCAAGCTTTTATAGCTCCTGTATGCTACCCCAGCTGTGTATGTGGGCCACAGCAAAGGATAAAATCCTACCCCTTATCTTTTTCCTGCTAGCCTTAATTGGCTGAGTTTTCTTGCTGGTTGTATCCCCCCTTGTCCATTTCCAGGTTACGTATTTGGTTTGTTTAAATCTCAGACATTAATTCTGAGCAGTCCCTTTTGATGCCATGTTGACCTCTTATTTCTTGCATTCTTCTTTGTCAAAGAAATTGTAGTTTCTTGTCCTTTAATTATAGTGTCTTTTAGAATGGATCATAAAGTTGTCTTCTATACAATTAAACTCTGATGCTTATTTGGCTTTATTTTTTGGGAGATATCTCATTTAATTATATTTACTTAAAATGTTTTAGTCTATTCTCTTCAATTGCATGTGCTACCATTATGAATGATATGCACTAGACTATGTGAGGGGGAAATTATTGCATGAGCACAAAGGAATATTTATGTTGGCAGACCAAGTGCCAGCTCATGCAAAGGTCCCTAAGCCTCACTGACAAATGCATAGCTGGAAAACAGTCTGGTTCACCTGTGTGTATTGTTAAAACAAATGTTAAGCTTATAAGAATGTGTTTAGTGTTTAGACTTGATGAAATGCTTGTAGGAGGCTGCGTTATTGATCTTACTTATAACATCTGTATCCCATGGTATAAAGTTATGTTGAGTGCTTGCATTGTAAACTATGTAACCATGTAACTCACCAAACATGAAAGAAGAATTAATTAATGTAAAATGCTGGTCCTGCACACAAGAAGGCCCATTGAAACCAAATGAGCCATTGTGAAACATCAAAAGACAAAGACTTTGTTGATTCGTCCCCCTCCCATGAAAAGGAGACAGGTGCCAACACTTGTCCTGTCAGTTTGAACTCTGAGGGAAGGAAATAAAAAGCCCTGACCAGAAGGAACTGTATCACTGTGCTGCTGGGAATTTGTAGAGAGCAATATTTCTAAGTGTAAGCAAGTGTAATCACTGTGCTGCTTGGCTTCAGTTAGTTCTAGAGGACATAGAAAGCTTGTATATTGCGGCAGTTTCTATTACCTTTTGGAACCTAAGACTGTAGCTCATTTGTTTGCATATGCTTACCTGCTTTAACCAAGTAAATAACTTCCTTATTTCTTTTTCCTAGTTAATAAAACTTTAGTTAGTTTATTACAGGATTGGCTACAAGTGTTGTGTCTAGTGAGAGATCTAAGGTATAATTGACCTGGGGTAAGTGATTGGTCCTTTGGGACTGGGAGTAGCCTGAATATTGTTGTGATTTTTGGTGTACAGGATCATCTATCACAAAGGCAGGCTTGTCTGGGTGGCAAGATAGACCGGAGTGCCCAAGAGGACTGGCTATGACTCCATGTTAAAGCTGTTAAAGCTTGAGGAGTTCACACTTGATACTTGGTTGGTGAAGTCTAATTATGGAACAGAATTTGGAGTTTGTGCCCTGATTTGTAAGAGTCTGCCCTGAGGTTGGCACTCATGCATGAGCTACTCCAGACAGCTCGACAGTCATAGATTTATAGTCTTTGACTTGAGGGCCAAAAGGGATCCCTAGATCATCTAGTTTGACCTCCTGTATAACACGGGCCAGGAGACAGTTGCTGAAAGTTTGCTTTAAGAAAACAGTACTATATGTTGACTTACTTCACAATATGGAGACTGTAATTAACTATGTTTGTTTTAAAATACGTGTCACAACATTTATTTTGTGCCCATAGATCATCCGAACTTCTGGAAAGACCTACATGATCTTTTTTGTGGTGGTCATCTTCCTGTGCTCATTCTATCTCTTCAACTTGATCCTGGCCGTAGTAACCATGGCATATGAAGAGCAAAACAATGCCACTCTTGCTAAAACACAGGCAAAAAAGAAATTGTGTCAGGAAGCTGAGGAACTACTAAGGAAAGAGCAGGTCTGTACTTTGTACTTTATTATGTACAGTACAGAATACACATCACATAAAACTCCTTTTCTTTCCCTTTTATTATGGAATACAGTCATTGATTAAAACAAATACAGCTCATATCTTAGTCATAATTTTTTTGTTTGTTTTCAAGAACAATGGTGGTAATTTCTCACACAACAACATACGCATTGGTGTGATAGAAGCATGGAACATCAGTCCAAACTATAGTTAAATCTTTTTAAATTAAAGAAACACTTTCAGATCCAGTAGACCTGATATTTTACCAGACAGTAATGGATTGCAGATATGTTGGTGTGTTCATAGAATCATAGAATTGTAGAACTGGAAGGGACCTCAAGAGATCTTCTAGTCCAGTCCCATGCACTCAAGTCAGGACTAAGTATTATCTAGACCAGGGATCGGCAACCTTTGGCATGTGGCCCGTCGGGGAAATCCGCTGGTGGGCCAGGCCGCTTTGTTTACCTGCAGTGTCTGCAGGTTCGGCTGATCGCAGCTCCCACTGGCCACGGTTTGCCATTCCAGGCCAATGGGGGCTGCGGGAAGCAGCGTGGGCCAATGGATGTGCTGGCCACTGCTTCCCGCAGCCCCCATTGACCTGTAACGGTGAACCGCAGCCAGAAGGAGCTGAACTGCAGATGCTGCAGGTAACCAAACCGGCCCGCCAGCGGATTTCCCTGATGGGCTGTGTGCCAAAGGTTGCCGATCCCTGATCTAGACCATCCCTGACCGGTGCTTGTCCAACCTCTCTCAAAAATCTCCAATGACAGAGATTCCACAACCTCCCTAGGCAATTTGTTCCAATGGTTAACCACCCCTGACAGGAGGTTTTCCTAATGTCCAACCTAAACCATCCTTGTTGCAAGTTAGGCCCATTGCTTCTTGTCCTATCCACAGAGGTTAAGGAGAACAATTTTTCTCCCTCCTCCTTGTAACAACCCTTTATGTACTTGAAAAGTGTTATCGCGTCCTCCCTCAGTCTTCTCCAGACTGAACAAACTCAGTTTTTTTCAGTCTCTCTTCATAGGTCATGTTTTCTGTTGCTCTTCTCTAGTCTTTCTCCAATTTGTCCACATCTTTCCTGAAATGTGGTGCCCAGAACTGTACACAATACTCCAGCTGAGGCTTAATCAGCGCAGAGTAAAGCGGAAGAAATACTTCTCGTGTCTTGCTTACAACACTCTTGCTAACATCCCAGAATGATGTTTGCTTTTTTTTCAAAGTGTTACACTGTTGACTCATATTTAGCTTGTGGTCCACTATGGCCCCCAGATCCCTTTCTGCAGTACTCCTTCCTAGGCAGTCATTTCCCATTTTGTATGTGTGCAACTCATTATTTCTTCCTAAGTGGAGTACTTTGCATTTGTCCTTATTGAATTTCATCCTATTTATTTCAGACCATTTCTCCAGTTTGTCCAGATCATTTTGAATTTTAATCCTATCCTCCAAAGCACTTGCAACCCCTCTCTACTTGGTATCATCGGCAAACTTTATAAATGTACTCTCTATGCCATTTATTAAACCATTGATGAAGCTATTGAACAGAACTGGACCCAGAATTGATCCCTGCGGGACCCCACTATATATGCCCTTCCAGCTTAATTGTGAATCACTGATAACTACTCTCTGGGAACAGTTTTCCAGCTAGTTATGCACCCACCTTATAATAGTTCCATCTAGGTTATATTTCCCTTATTTGTTTATGAGGTCATGCAAGACAATATCAAAAGCCTTACTAAAACCAAGATATACCACATCTGCCACTTCCCTCCATCCACAAGGCTTGCTACCCTGTCAAAGAAAGTGATTGTGTTGTTTTGACATGATTTATTCTTGACAAATCCATACTGACTGTTACTTATAACCTTCTAGGTGTTTGCAAATTGATTTCCTAATTATTTGCTCCATTATCTTTCTGGGTACATACATTCTGTTGCTTCTCTCTTTATTCATTTCTCACGGTCTAATGCCTCCTATCGGTGGAATTTGGAAGTGGTCCAGTGTTGTTGCTAGAGGCCCCAGGACTAAGTTCCTCCCTTGAGTTCAGTCACCAGATTCTCTTTGCCTTGGTGGTGGAACAAACTAGTGGTTTAGTTTCTTCTAATCATTTTGTTTTAAAACCTTTATTTTTATTCATTTTGTGCTCTTAAGATTTATAATCTTCCTCCTCCTCTGGATTGGTTAAATAGCAGCATGGTGGTTTTAACCATATGGCTCTGCCACTGCAGTGCCTCCCTGCCAGACTCCTCTGCCCCAACTCAGCCACGGCAGAGCTGTCCTACAAACACCTGGCTTAAATCTAAGTAGTGTTCCCTATGTGAGGCAGCACTTACAGGCTCTACAGAGGTTGAATTATGCTCCACCTGTCTCCAGTCAGCTGACCCCTGCCCTGCCAGGGTACTGGGCTGAGGGTCAGATCATCATGTTCAATCTCCACCCAGCCCCAAGGAGCTGTGACTCCAACACAGAAAAGCGTAATCAGGAACTTCTGAGCTTTGGGGGAGAGAGTCCAAGGATGAGAAGGAAACTATCTGGACAGCTCAGGGGTAAGTCTTGCAAAAGACCAAGGCTGGAGGGGGGCGGGAAACCCTGAAAGGATACAGAGTTCCCCCATACCTCCAACCATTCACATTCTAAAGTGGGTCCCCAGCTCCCTGGGGAAGGAAGCAGGGCTCCTACACGGCACTACATTGTAAGTGGATTTATTATGCCTTATATCAATTTAATAAAATTTCTTGACCACTGATGAAAACAAGGGACTTAGTCTTAACATATCAACCAAGTTTTCCTTAGTACTTAAAGTCATCAGAATATTTGATAGACAAAAATAAACTGTATAGTATCAGAATGCAAATCTACTAACATCTTACATCACTTTAATTTCAATGATAGCGCCACTTTCTGAATAAAAATGTGAGGAAAATGCTCAGTTTTTATGACATTCACATTTTTGTAAATAAATTGTCTCAAGTAGGGATGGGATGAATCTTTGATTAGATTCAAATACTCCCTCCTTTCCCCCATCAAAAAACTCCTTAACTGCCACAAACACTGAATGTCTAAAATAGCTGCCTCCTCATTACCATAGGTTATGCTGTAGCCAATCAACAGTTCTCTCCTACTTAACTGGCTTCCTCTTATTACCCCATCTCTAATTCTGTAGTCCCAGCTCCTGTTTCTCTTCCCCAACACCGGCATTGCTCCTGTGTTCCAGGTGTCTACCTTCTTCCCTTAATCTTCTATCCATTAATCTTTCAGTTTATAAAATATACTTGCATGTGATATCATGGTATGTGATGAATCTTGGTAAGTATTTGAATATGTCCCATATGATGTTGCAGTTTATCTACCTGCTCCTCCCATTTCTTCAAGCAGGATGGGGATTTATATTCAGTGTTCTCCAAATACTAAATTCTAACTGTTCAGTATTCAACAAATACTGGGGGGGGGAAATGATTAATTCCATTCCTAGTCTAAAGTTATTTGATATGTTGAATTTTTACAGTATAGTCATGAAATAGTTCAAGCTACTGTCTAGCAAAGAATTGGTTTCCAATCAAATTTAAGTTTTCACACTTCCAGAATAATGAAAAAATTATTGTTGTTAAATGAATGATTTCACAAGGAAGGTGTTTTCTGAATCATAGTAGGTTTTATTTCAGAAATGCCCTTTGACTTCATATGACTTTTTGTTATTGCTAGTGTTTTTACATCCATACAATAATGCAAGGTTGCGTTGGAATCCTTATTTAATATGATCCATTTACCTTATGCTGCATTATATTTGTATACTAAACAACAGTTAACCACATCTGCCTCTTATTTTATATTATTTTCCTAACCAAAGGAGCAGATATCAGCAGACTCTGTAAACAATCCAGTTAGAAGACAAAGGATAATGAGTGCAACCAATGTTATTACCAATGCCAAAAGTAAGTCATTCTTCAGTGTTCTTTAATGCAAACTTAGTATAAGTTGATCTGAAAAATTAAATTGTTACAAATAAATAATCAATGTAAGTTTAAAAATTACTAGAGCATATATGGATGTTATGCTGTAAATAAAGATAAGTTTTAGTAAAACAACTATTGTCATATGTCACCTTCCTGTCAAGGCCTAAATGTGGGACATTGTGTGACAGAGACCCAAAAGTGCTAAGGGATTTATTCCAGTAGTGTAAATAATTCATTATCTAACTTCAGTTTCATGATTATTTCTAACGTTAATAATTTTCAATAAGTGATGTAACATCAAATTTGAATTGGATGTAGGGAATAAAATGAGTGACATCCCTCAAAATAAGGTATAGTTGAGAGGTAGGATTCTTGTACTATTACATAGCCATCAAAACTAGAGGTGTGAGAAGAAAAACTCCTTGTCAATGAAAGTGGCAAAAAATAATATGGAGAACATGTACCCCACAGTTCCACTTTACTTGTACATGGCACTGAACTACTGTAGGTGACTTGAAAAAAAGCCAGAAAGGGGAAAACCCAGGACAACTTTACTCTTGAATTCTTGGCAATGAAAATCAGACTCTGGGTTGCTTGGAATTAAAATGAGATTTGGTTATAAACATATGACATTCCTCTGACTTCAGATCTTCAAAACCCAGTTTGCTAGCCATTATTAATAATTTTAAATCATCACAAATAATAAACCTATGCCTCCACCTTCACTTGGATGCTTGGTGACCCCAGCATCAAGCTCACAGAACCTCTATCAGAGCTATATCGGTTGGGGCTGCACACATGCCCTCCAGCGACATCAGCATTCAACATCTGAGGGTATGGCAACACAGCTTGGATAGACATATACATGCTAGCTCTAATCAAATTAGTAATTGTTGGCTGCTATCCCTCGATACAAGGATGATGTCTGCCAGGGGAAAAGTCGTTGATGAGACTTAATTGGACGCTGAGGAGTCCAATTCATGCTGTACAGGTTTTTCCACATATGTGACAGGTGGTTGCTTGTAGAGAGCACAACTGCTGGCCGGGACGCTATACCCTTTCCTTCCTCCTTTGCCGTTTCTCAGACTCTTGAGCAACGCGATTCTCTTCAAAACGTGCTGAGGCTTGATGTATGATGTGACATCATTGTAGTCTATTACCAGCCAGCTCTTCCCAATTTGTGGGTTCAATGCCTCCCTTCTTAAGATATACTTTCAGGGTGCCCATGTAGCATTTCCTCTGTCCCCCCTGGGTACTCTTATCATGACTAAGTTGAGAAAAGAGGACTTGCTTCGGAAGATGAGTATCAGCCATCCACACACAACGATCAGCCCAGAAAAGTTGATGTTTCACAATCTTTGTCTCAGCATTGGTGATGTTAGCTGCAGAGAGAACACTGGTATTGGTGCGATGATCTTCCCATCTGATACAGATAATCTTCCTAAGGCAGCACTGTTGGTACCATTCTAGACGCTTAAGATGGCTTCGATATGTCACCTATGTATTGCACCCATAAAAAAGAGTGGAGATGACTACTGCATTGTAGACAAGGATCTTAGTTTCCATCTGCAGATCTCTGTCAATAAAGACATGATGAAACAACTTTCTGTAGGATATGCTGGCACAATGGATCCTGTATTTGATCTTTAAACCAAGCTTGGCTGTCTGGGAGAGGTGGCTACCAAGGTAAGGAAAGTGCTCAACATTTTCCAGGGGTTCACCATCAATGATAATTTGTGGGAGAAGGGGGGCAACTTGTGCTGGGGCAAGTTGGTGGAGCACCTTAGTCTTCCCAATGTTGAGGGAAATTCCCAGGCTATGATAGGCACCTGAGAAAAGATCTAGGGTGGACTGCAAGTCAACCTCAGTGTGCGCGAGAACAGCACAGTTGTCAGCATACCGAAGGTCAGTAATAACAGTCCTAGTGACTTTAGTTTTAGAATGAAGACGCTGCAGATTGAAGAGTTGGCCATCCATGCAATTCAATAATCCTAATTCCTGAAGAAAGGCAGTCTGATTAAGAATCAAGATTACAGCAAGATAGATGGAAAAAAGGGCTGGGGGCAATAACACAGCCCTGCTTAGCACCAGTATGGATGGTGAACAGGTCCATCTCCAACCCATTAGAGAGGACGAGGCAGTCATCCCATCATGAAGTAGCCTGAGAACACAAATGAACTTCAATGGACAACTGAACCTAGACAGCACCTTCCATAATGCTTCACAAATGATGGAATCAAAGGCCTTAGTTAGGTTAATAAATACCATAAACAGTGGCTGGTGTTGTTCTCTACGCTTCTCTTGGATCTGTCATGCAACAAAAATCATGTTGGTGGTGCCCCAAGACGATCTTAAACCACATTGGGATTCCAGAAGGACGTCTTCGGCCAGAGGGAGCTTTAATCAAATTAATATGCTAAAAATAGCAGTGTGGCCATGGTAGCACAGGCAGCAGTTTAAGCTGGTTGTCAGAGTACAATCTGTCTGAGGTCCTAATTATGTACTCAGGCATATACCCTAAGCCACCACCCCTGCTTCCTTGGCCACACAAGATGGCATATGCATGTCTACTCAAGTTGAAAATTACACTTCCCACTTTAGTGTAGACATACCCTGAGTGTACTGAAGAGGGAGTGCAGTCCCCAACCACCTCAGTTCCTTCTCCTCTATGGGAAAGAACATTAGGAACCTCTCTCACTTCTACTGTTCAGTCTTTGCAAATATCTTTACCCATTTTTACTTGTAGTTTCTTAATTCAGTTAGTTTAATTTGGAAATAAGAGAGGAAATTTTACCTCAGAATGCCTGAGGAGTCGATGCTAGCACTGATTATAAGATAGCACTCTTCCTCTTCCCCTCTACCTTGGAATTCTTATCACACTATGCAACACTATTGTTCAAAAGACGGAACTGAGGTGGTTGGAGGCTGCACTGCCTCCTGTGCACATAGTCGTTGAACACTGACATCACCAAGGGGCACTCATACAACCCCAAGAGACACAACTTTGGTAGAGCACAATGCCCAGGGCCCAAACTGTAGAGGTATAAGTACAGAGATATGACTCATGAAAAACAGTACTTATCAGTAATTAATCTTTATTTTTCTAGCAATGCACCTGAAAAGTCTCCCCTTAATACAGATACTGTAGCATCCTCAGAAAATTTAACACAGATATGAAGAGGTGGGTGACTTCACCTGTATCCATAGATCTTGACCTTTTAAAGTGACTGAATTAGTGGCTTGTGTAGAATGAGTGAGTGATTTGATTAGAGACCATACTTTCCTGGTCATATGTGGAGGGATTAAAATAAATTATCTGTGCGATGGTTGACTGAAATTCTTTTCTTGCCATATAATTCAGCATAAATTACTTAACTGTCCCTTTGTCCTCCTTCCCACTTAAACTGGAAGAGTCAAAACGGAAATGTCCTTCATGCTGGAATCGCTTTGCCCAAAAATATCTCATTTGGGACTGTTGCCCACTGTGGATACAACTCAAGGAGAAAGTGAAGCTTATTGTAATGGATCCATTTACTGACCTCACTATCACTGTTTGCATTGTGGTGAATACCATCTTCATGGCACTAGAGCACGATAATATGACAGAAACTCTTAGCAACATGATTATTACAGTCAACAACGTAAGTGAAATCTTATGCTCATTATAGACACGGCTAGTAACTGCCTATTATTGTCTGACACTTCCCATATAAGACTCTGTTTTTAGTTGCTTATAACTTTGCCAGATTAGCTGTTTAGACTGAAAATTTTTCATGTTGAGTGCCTGTCTCAGGCTGAAGGTTTTTTCGTTTTTGTTTTTTAAGCAAAAATTGTTCAGATGTTTCTGAGAAGGAGGCCAGGAGGCTAAGGGAAAATGTTTCTCAGTGTTAAAAAATGTTCTTGTGACCCTTCCTTTGGAAAACTGTAGCACTGGCAAGCTTTGGAGCGAGGACTTGAAATTTGGCAGGCTGGTAGCCTTTTTGTCAGGGATTTGCCTTTTGCCAGCTTTGTGAAAATCAGCCCAAATTTGGCCATGTTATAAGTCTTTGGAAAATTGCAGTTTGCAGATGCTGAATAGACACTTGCTAGAGTTTACCTGCTAAAGAAAATTCTGTCCTAACTAAGCATGCTCCAGTCTCGCACAGTTCCTAATGCTGACCAGAGTGTGCACGCATTTTCCCCACAGAATATCTGAACATGCTCTCTCTAACCCAGGATGTCATGACGGGGACAAGGGCAGTCAGACCTAGTGGTTGGAGCAGGAGTTGGGAGTCAGGCAGAATCAGGTACTGGGAGGTCAGAGTCAGAGACAGTGCCAGCTCAGACTGGTAAATTCCTCCATCAGATCAAGGGCATGGACATGGGAGGCAAGCTCCCAAGTGTATTTTTGGCGGTTGTAAACTTGCCATTTCACCAGATAGTGCAGACAGCTGTACGTCCGTTGGGAATTGAGGATGGCATACACTTCATATTCCTCGTGACTCTGGATTTTGACTGGTGGAGGTGGCGGTGTGTTTCGGTCAGGGAACGGGTTCTCGGTGTAGGGCTTCAGAAGGGAAACATGGAAAACTGTAAAAAGCAACAGAGGGTCCTGTGGCACCTTTAAGACTAACAGAAGTATTGGAGCATAAGCTTTTGTGGGTGAATGCCCACTTCATCAAACCAGTGGTCTGATGAAGTGGGCATTCACCCACGAAAGCTTATGCTCCAATACTTCTGTTAGTCTTAAAGGTGCCACAGGACCCTCTGTTGCTTTTTACAGATTCAGACTAACACGGCTACCCCTCTGATACATGGAAAACTGGGTGTATTTTGAGAGATTGGGGAAGCTGGAGTTTGAAGGTAATTGGGTTAATCTGCTGAACATATTGGGGAAGGATCCTCAGAATTGATGGTCCAATTTGCGGGAAAGTCGTTTGGTCTGGAGGTGATTGGCGACAAGCCACACCTTCTGGCCTACCATAAATACTGGAACTTTTTGCCGCTGATGGTCCACATGCATTTTTTAGGCCTTCTTCACCTTGTCTAGGTGGTTCTTGAGTACTTCCTGAATAAGATGGATTTGTTGGACCCAGTTGGTGTGGCGGGGTGGAAACGGAGATGGAATCCATAATTCATGAAGAAGGGACTCCAACCCGCAGAGGCATGGTCAGCATTGTAAGAAAATGTTGCCTATGGCAGGAATGTGGACCATTTAGCTAGATGATAATTTACAAAGCACCTCAAGTATTGCTCCGGTCCTTGGTTCACCTGTTCAGTTTATCCATCTGTTTAGGGGTGGTATGCAGTGAAGATGGATATGTGGATGTTCAGGAGCCTGAATACTTCATGCCAGAAGCGATAGGTGAACTGTGGGTCTCGGTCAGAAACTATGTAGTCTAGGAATCCAGAGAGTCCTATTGTGCAGTAGGAGTTGGGCAGTAGCCTCAGCAGAGGGCAGATGGTTGCAGGGGTGAAGTGGGCCATTTTGGTGAGGCAGTCCACAACCATTATGACTATAGTGTGGCCATAAGACACTGGGGGTTCCACAATGAAGACTAGGCTGATGGCAAACCAGGAGTCTCCAGGGTTACTAAGATGCCAATGGTTCTAGTTTGGGGCATCTTGGTACCTGCAGACCACTCATAGGAGTCCGTGTATGCTTGAACCCTTAGCCCACATGTGGGGCCAACAGAAAAAATGGGCAACCATGTGGGAGTCTTCCAGTAGCCAGAGTGACCCGCCATTGGAGCAGCATGGCACAGCCATAGCACCTCCAGTCAGGGTTGCCTTGAGGGCAAATATATGTGCTCATCAAAGTATATTATTCCATTCTGCAGGGAACGGTACATCTTAGCCCCCAGTGGCATGATCTGCGTCCCTTGGGCAAGAGGGTCTTCTTTGGAGGCAGATCAGATGAGGAAGAGTAGGTCTCACTGAATTGTGACATTGGCAAAGTTACTGGGCTTGAGGAGGTAGGAAAGCTTGGAAGTCAGTTCTTCACTTAACTGGTAGCATACCTACTTCTGCAATAGAACATTGGCTTCCCATTTCACTTTCCCAGGCAGTAGGTAATTGTAAACTCAAACCAAGAAAAGAACAAGGCCCACCTTAACTGCCTCTGGTTCAATAGGCCTTGCAGAGGTACTTGAGGTTCTTATGGTCAGTGAAGACCTGTACTGGGTGCCAATCTCCCTCAAAGTGGGGATGCCATTCTTCAAATGCAGTTTTTATGGTGAGCAGCTCTATCCAGTATTTCATAGTTCATCTTTGTGAGGGTAAGATTTTGAGAATAAAATGCATAAGGGTTCAGAACTGACAGGGGTCCAAGTCACTGTGATAGTACCGCTGTTAGGGCCACATTGGATGCATTTGCTTCCGCTATAAATGGACAAGTTGTGTGTGCCAGGACTGTGGCCATGGTAAAGACAGCCTTTAGCTGGGTAAAAGTGAGTTGGCCTTCGGGCAACCAAACAAATTGCACAGCTTTGCGGAGGAGGGAAGTCAAGGGAGTTATTAATTGGGAGAAGTTAGTGATGAATCTCCTATAAAATTTGCAAAGCCCAGGAAGCACTTCAGTTCCCAGAGGGCTCAGGGTGCTGTCCAGTTGCAAGTGGTTTCCACCTTTTGCTGATCCATCTGGATTCCCTCCGGGGAGATGATGTACTCAAAAAAATTAAATGGTGGCCTGTTCAAAGGTGCACTTTTCCAATTTGGTGTACAACCCATGCTTCTGTAGTCTCCCTGGAACAGACTGGATATGGTGGTAGTGCTGCTCCAGATTCTTGGAAAATACCAGAATATCGTCGAGGTACATAATCACATACTGATCCAGGATATCCCTGAACACATCGTTCATGAAATGTTGAAATGTTGCAGGGGCATTGGTTAAGCCAAACAGCATCACCAAGCATTCAAAATACCCATACTGGCTACGAAAAGCAATCATCCATTCATCCCCAGGCCTTATGTGCAATCAGTTGTATGCTCCCCGAAGATCTAGTTTCATGAAGATCCTGGCAGTTCTCAGGCAGTCAAGCAATTTCAGAATTAGGGGCAAGGGGTACCGGTTACGAATAGTCACTTGGATTCCCAGTCAGAGAGCACGATAGTCTACACAGAGACAGTGACCCATCCTTCTTCACAAAGAGGACTGGTGCACCCGATGGAGAGGTAGATAGTCAAATGAAGCCCTTGGCAATGTTTTACTGGATATATCCATGGAGCATCTCCTGCTTTAGTTCCAACCTGGAATATATCCATATATAGGGCACCTTTGCCACAGGCTGTAGGTCTATTAGGCAGTGTCGTCTCTGTGTGGGAGCAGTGAGTCTGCATTTTTCTGTTTGAACACATCCAGGTACTTGTAGTACTTGTCAGTGAGGCTGAGATTCTGGGCTGAATCTGTTCTCATATGGCTAGCCCCCGCCATCTGGGATTCTGCTTCCGAAGATCTCCTCTCATTCAGGGACCCCAGATGTGGGTCACTTGGGGGTTGGTTGTTCCTTGGAGGCACACTTTCTGACAGTATTCGGAGGAGAAGCTAATGCTCCTCCACCACCAGGAAATACAAGGGTCATACCATGCCAACTAAGGAATGCCAAGTATTAATGGGAAGTGGATCATATCTAAGCATATTGTTTCGCAGTGCCCTTCCACTACAGCCTCTAAAGGGACGGTCTCTTGAGTCACTGGTCCCTATGATAGGGACCACCCATCCATCTTCTCCACAAGGTCCAGTGTGGGTTTCAGCTGGAGTGGGATCTGGAGGGTTTTGTCTTCCCCAGCATCTATAAAGTTAGCAGCAGCCCTGGAGTTTGTCATGGGTAGTTGTGGGGAGATCTGCTGTGCCTGTCCCAAGACCTGCAACCAGAGTAGCAACTAGAAGTGCAGGGAGGCACCATAGTTCTCAGGCTAGGTTCTACTTGAGGGTGGGCTAGGAGGCAAGTGGTTCCAGAGCATGGAGCTCTGCTGGTGCCCAGGCTGTACCCCCATACTGGGCCTAGACTGGTCCATTTCCTGAGTTCTTCCAAGCTAGGCAGGAGGTAAGAGAATGTCCTGGTCTCCTGCAGTAAAAAGAGTGGTTCAGCTATTGTTGACACTCTCTCTTCTCTGGGGATCAGATGTCGGTGACCCAGGTTGCCATGCCTGGGTTTAGGACTCAGTTCTACAGGCCTCAGTGTGGAGAGCAGGCATGGAGGTGTCGGGCTACCCCTCCTTTCCTCCATGCAACCGAGAATCAGTATATAGGCGGGGTCAATAAAGGTGCCTAGGCAGGTGGCGTTTTTCATGCAGGCTAGTTAGTCTTTTACCTCATCATTGAGCCTCTACCGGAAATAATAAAGTTGGGCTACCTCTTTCCATTCAACACCAGCCACAAGCCATTGGAAATGGGCAGCGCAGGAGGTGGCTGGCCCATGTCCCTGGCAAAGCTTCTGGAGGGCAGCCTCTGCAGAGTGGATGCAATGCAAATAATCAGAGATGGTCGCGAAAGTTTGTGGGTAGGCATCCCAGTCAGAGAGCAAAGGGTTGTTCCTCTCCAACGCTGGGGAGGCCCAATCAAATGCTTCGCTGGAGAACAGGCTGACTACTAGCCCCAGCATAGTCTGGTGTGGGGGGTATGCTCAGGGGTGGAGCAGGAAAGGAAGCCTGCATTGGTTCA